AAGTAGCAGCGTGCTGGGCCGGTAGTTCCAACCCCCAAAGGAAACCCACCGCCATCCAATTGTGGAGTGACCCTATTGAGATTCTAGACCTAGTTAATGCTGCACATCTTTACGCGAGCAGAGAGCTTCGTCTTGCTCCCACAGAGCAAACTGGTGGGTTTGAACCCCCGGCCTTGCCATGGACAATCCAATGGTTACTTGGGAGCACCTCAGGGTTCTTCTGGTATAATGTTGAAGTGCATTCAATGAAATGTTTGGTCCCTTTATTCACCCTTTCTCGGACAGCCTTGGATGGGAGTTGGTTGTGCTATGATGGGAAAAATCACCAGTTTCGTGTCCAAAGGCCTATGTGTTGGGCCTAGATCTGCCACTGAATACTCTGAAATGGTGGTGGCTAGCTGTCATTCAGCCCCTCAAACTCATCGAGGACCCATGTATTACAGAGTAAAACGACTCCATCAGATTTTCTGTAGTGGCAGCCGTGGGCCAGCCCTTTCCTCTGTGGAGACCCTAGATGACTCTCTATCGCCAACCCTTGTGAGCCGCAACACAATAAGGATGCCACCGCGTGGGTCTGAGGAATACTTACTTGGTTGGGTTACAAGCACTGGAGCAGGAGGGGTGGAAAATGAGTATGGGAAAATCACACTGTTAAAGGGTCGAGTGACCTCAAGGTCAGTAGGTTGACAACGCTCTTCCAGAAAAAGAGGAGGCTTTTTAATCTCAGGAACCTAGAAGGGCAGTTGCAGGGGTGGGAATCGTCCGCTTCAGTTCAGCGGAACCGACACTTATGAGCTCTGCGAACCGGTTGTTAAAATGGCACTTTAACAGTGTTCTCTCTAAAGTGGGAGGTTAAGCAGCCGCCCAATGTGAAGATCACATATTTACATTCCTTAGTCTTTTTTAACATTCTTCTGTGTAACAGCGTATTCTAAGTGCTTATAGTAAATGTTCATTCCACCCATAGATATAAAAAATTAGATAGAACTATGTTTGGAATATTTATTTATTCATTTCATAAAACTCGTTGTCCTTTTGCTGGAGTACTAGATTTTTATTCATTTGCGTTTGTTACTTCACTAAATAAACATATGGTGAAAGAGAAAAAGGGCCAAACAACCAGAAGGGTGACAAGCTGTCATTCATTTCAGCTTTGTGTTAGGCCCCAAATTCCCATGAGATATTATAAGTGAGCGATGTCATTCCTGAAGGTGTTCAAAGAGCCAGAAAACATTGTCAGAATAATTCTTGTAAGTTCACCAGAAGCAGAAAGTGGTTATTCAGAAATGAACATAATATGTTCAGAGAAGTAGCCAGTTTCTAATATGTCTGACTGAAGATGGGTAAGGGAAAATCACACAGCTGATGAGGCTACTCAGATAAAAGTGAACAATATTGCAAGTGAAGATGTCAATCGAGAAACAATATGGAAATATCTTCAATAACAGTTTTATTTTTGTCAGGTATTATTTAATATTTTTCATTAATATGTCAAAACCCTTCCAACATAATCTAGTTTTGTAGACCACTTTTATTGTTGTTCTTATGAACGTATTAACTGTATTAAATAATAAACAACTTTTTGGCATTTTTTAAATACACGTAAAATGGTCAGTAGGGCAGTGAACTGGTTGTTAAATTATTTGAATCCCACCCTGGGTAGTTGTACCCTATCTTATATGGTTGCTCTGAGTTGGAATCAACTAGATAGCAGTGAGTTTGGTTTGAGTTTATAAGATTGGGCTAAGGTGCCCTGGTGGCACTATTGGGTAGACATTAGACGGCCAATTGCAATGTTGGTAGTTCAAGCCTACCAGCACTCTGAGAGAGAAAGATGAGGCTAAGTGCTTTCAGATTGAAGTTGTCAAGGGTTTCATTTCATGAAAGCAATCAGGAAATCAAATGATGATGACACTGGGCAAATCTGCTAAACAGGCCGTTCCAAAGTATTAAAAAGCAAGATGCCAATTTGAAGAATAATGTGCACTTGGCCCAAGGCATGGTATTTTCAATCGTCTCATATGCATGTGAAAGCTTGACAGTGAATAAGGAAGAGCATAGAAAAATCGATGCATTTGAATTATGGTTTTGGCCAAGAATATTGGAAGTATGAACTGCCAGAACAAACAATTCTCTTTTGAAGGAAGTACAGCCAGCATGCTTCTTTGGATTCAGATTGCATCTCACATACTTTGAACATGTTATCAGAAAATACCAATCCTTAGAAAATGGCATCATGCTTGGTAAAGCAGAGAGCAGAGACAGACACTTGATATGATGGGTTGGCACAGTGGCTGCAACAGTGGTTCAAACCTCCATGGTGAGGATGGCGCAGGACTGGGCAGTGCTTTGTTTTCTTGTACATATTCTCACTAGGAGTTGAAACTAACTCCACAGCAACAAGAACAACAATCTGCTCCCTTAAGATTTTTAACCCCAGAAGCCCTCTACAGGGTCTCTATGAGTCAGAATGGACTTGGTGGCCGTGAGATTCATGGTTGGTCTAGTAGTGTCAGACATGCTGGAGGGACCATTGTTTGTGGAGCTTCCCACCCAGCACTGCTCACCTTGTCCTTCAGGATATAGAGCGCCATGGGGTTCTTCCGCTCCTGCTCTCCACTGCGTGGTAGAGTATCTGCTGCACAGAGGAAAGGTACAGGATGACTGGCCCAGGTACAGAACCCTCCCACCAGTCAGCACCTTCAATCTTTGCTCCCCAGGTGGCCACCGTCACCAACCCACTCTAACCTCCACCTGAGGAGCTCAAGTACCCAGGATCCTACCTTGGCTGCACATTTCCCTGCTCTGCAGTCTTCGGGCAGAAGGTGGAGGAAGGGGACGCGCAAGGCTGGTTTCCTTGTTGCCCAGTTCTGCCTTTTCCCAGAAGCCCACTGATCTGAGTGAAGATGGGATGGGTGAGTGGGTAGGTGGGAACTCACCTTCTGGTTTTAGGTGGTCATCATTCTGATCCATGTATTCCAGGGAGTTTTGTTTCTCCAGCTTCCTCTTCTTCCTGCAAGGCAATACAGCTCCCAATTCAGTGTAAACAGAAGGTGTCATAAAACAGGACTTGTGATAGATAGGGGCTGTAGCAGTAGGAGTGGAGGCATAGTTTGGGAGCTTTGGAACAGGTGTACATCCTCAGTCTATCACTAGCACTGTGGTGGGGGAAGAGTCATTTAACTAATCTAGGTCTCAGGATCATTATCTGTAAACTGCAGATAATTGTATCTTCCCTGAAAGACTTTGAGGACATAAAACCACAACCACAGTGCCTGGCCCAAAGCTAATGCTCAGTAAGTGAAACCATGACTAATCAAACTCTGGTTCTTAAGTGTCCTGAGCACTGGACGTGGTTCCATACACCAAAGTGAGCTGGATTTTCTTAGAACTAGTGCCAGAACCTGAGAGGAGAGCCCTTTACAGAGACTAAGAAAAGACTAGCACCTGGTGTTGGAATGGACCAAAGGATGACCATGCTCAGGTGTTGGACTTGGAGAGTTACCTAGATTTCTTGGAGGGTTTCCAGCAGGCACAGACTGTCACTAAGGTCACAAGGAGGAAGATGCCTCCCATAGACAAGATGATGTAGAGGGAGCTTCTCCCTAGTGAGAAAGATGAGGAAAGGGAGAGAATTGAGTGTGAGTCAGAGGCACATTAAAGGGTCCTATGGAGTCAAAAAAAGAGAAAAGGCGACCCAGGCAGCGTGGCTAACTGAGGTCAGAGTTTGCACAGAGCTGCTACCTTTCTGTTGCTGGCTTCCATGATCGTTTTCCCACCTCTATCCTCCTTCCTCCCTCCAGAGGAGTCCTATCTAGGATGTCGTTAGTCATCCATGGGCACATGCCTCTGGGGATTTTGAGTTCCAAGGGAGGACAACAGGAAAACTCACTGTACACAGTAATCTTGATAGGCAAGCTGCGACCCTGGCTGATGGGGTTCTCCACCGCACAGCTGTAGAGGTCGTCATCCTCCATGAGCACACGGATGATGGTGAGCACCTTTTGGTCCGGAGACAGGAGCATACGCGAGTCGTTGAGGAGGGGCTTGCCATTCTTCAACCAGGTGTAGCTGGGTTTGGTGCCGTTCTCATGTGAGCAGTTCAGGGTGAAGGCCTCGCTGAGCTCCAGCACAGTGGTCGAAGCCACTAAGACCTGTGGCCTTGAAATGGGCACTGGGCCCCAGGGTTGGAGAACCTGTGAGTCACGGGTTAGAAAGCTTCTCCCTTCTCTTCTCAAAGTCTTACTTTCCAACCGACTACAACAAATTTTGTAGGCTGAGGAGACCCTTCTGCAGTTACCAACTTAGTCCTTTCCCGTCATTTATTAAGGCCCTAGCTACTTATTGAGCACTGGGTGTACAATAAAGAGCTGTGGTGGCATAGTGGGTTATGCCTTGGGCTGTTAACTGCGAGGCCAGCAGTTAGAAACCACAAGCTGCTCCTCAGGAAAAAAATTAAGGCTTTCTAACCCTGTGAAGAGTTAAGTCTCAGAAATCCACAGGGGCAGTTCTACCCTGCCCTATCGGGTCTCTATGAGTGACAATTGATACAATGGAAGTGAGTTTTTTGAGTTTGGGTGTACAATAAGGAGCCCTTGTGATACTGTTGGGTAAGCATTGTTGGGCAAGGTTGACAGTTCAAATCCACTACTAGCTCTGTGGGAGAAAGATGAGGCTATCTGCTCCAGTAAAGATTTACAGCCTTGGGAACCCTACAGGATTGCCATGAGTTAGAATCTACTCGATGGCAGTGGGTTTGAGTGTTTTGGTTTTGTGTGTGTGTGTGTAAAATACTGAATATAACAGCTATGGTTCCTGTTGTCACTGAACATACATCCTCTTCTTCCCAATACATCTCCAAGACAATTGAAATTTAATAGTTCAAACAGGCCCAACTTGGAAAATGTTTAGTTGGATTAAACCCAACTATGTACATATTGCTAGTTAGCTTTCTGACCTTGGGCAAAAGTAATCCACCTCTTGATGCCTTAGTTACCTAATCTTCAAAACAAGAGTTAGTGATATTATCATCTCTAGATTAATATTAGGTAACTTTGTTGGCTCAACAGTCTAGCACTCGAGTGCTAACAACAACTAAAAAGAATGGTTGGTAGTTTGAACCTACTCAGTGGCTCTGTGGAAGAAAGACCAACGACCTGTTTCTTTAAGATTACAGCCAACAAAACTCTATGAAGTAGTTCTACTGTGAATATCTGTGAGTCAAAATTGATTCAACAGCACCAAATAGCTACAACAGATTATTATAATAAACATCCAATTAGTTGATATATGTAAAGCACATAGAACAGTTTTGGATACCTAATAAAGATATGTATTAACTATGCCTAGCTGCCAACCTCTAATTTCCACTTGGCTTATTCTCAGTTCTCAAATGGCTTTGGGGTTGCCTCTCCTGGATCTGCTGTCCTAGTCCCACGAGGACCATTGCAATGAAGTAGTTAAGGGTTTTGTGTGTGTGTGTGTGTGTGAAAGGCCAGGAACCCTGATTGTATAGTGGCTACTCATTGGGAATCTGCAATATCAGCAATTTGATATCACCAGGCTCTCTTTTGGAGAAAGATGAGGCTTTTTGGAGAAAGATGAGGCTTTTTTACTGTAAAGAGTTATTAGTCTCACAAACTCACAGAGGCAGTTCTATGCTGTCCTATAGGGTCTCTGTGAGTTGGGATCGACTCAATGGCAGTGAGTTTGGAGTTTTGGATTGGAAAGGTCACCAGCTTAAACCCACCAACTACCAGCCATCATACATAAAAATATCCAGCCTTGGAAACTTATGGGACAGCTATACTTGTCCTATAGGGTTGGTATGCGTAAGAATTGACTTGATGGCAGTGAGATTTTTAAATTTTTAATTAAAGTTGTTTTTAGTGTACAGGCCTACAGACACTGTCCCAGTCCCTGCCCCAATCCCTGTCTTTCCCTGCAGTAGCCCTTTACCATCTACAGTGAGGTTGATGGTCTTCTCCCCAGTGAAGGTATCATCAGTGATGGAGATCTCGACCTCATAGGTGCCCTCGTCGGCCAGCTGCAGGTCACTGAGAAGTAAGGAGCCATTTTCAAAGAGTCGAATTCGATCTCGATAGTCAGGTCTCAGAGTGCCAATGACCTCTGTGCCAATGGACTGCACTACAGTCACTGGCTTGTCTCGCTTCAGCTGCCACTTCACCACAGGCTTGTCGCTGCTGGTGCTGCTGTATTGCACGGAGAGCAGAGCTGCCTTCCCTACAATACCATGGATCAGACGCACTGGGCTGGTGATGTTCACTCCTTCTAGGGGGTCTGCAAACAGAGGCCCATGGGGGAAAGAGGATGGTGTTAGACCTCAGGTCCTTCCCTCACTTTCAACTCTAAGCCTTCTGATCTATCACTCCCTTATCCTTCACTGCCTTCATCTTAGGTAATTCTTTTCACACTTTGCTCCTTTCCCACTATGCCCCCTTGTCATCCCTCACTCTCATCACATTATCTTCAAACCTTATTCCATTTAGTCCTCTGCCTCTCTGTCACTTCTCCCCATTGCCTTCCCTTAGCAGAAGATACCAGCTAACCCACACCATATATAATCCATTCAGAACAGTGGGGTTTGAGCATACACTATGTACCAAATATGCTTTAGGTCCTTGGAATGTATCAATAAGAAAACTACATAAGTATCCCTGCCTCTTAAGTTAACAGGTCATTAGATCTTAGAGTGAATTTGTCAGATATTCTTGACACATATTAGGGAGTGTGTATAGATAAAGAAAGCAGTGGAACATAAGTACCAAAGAAATGGTATATTTCCAGGATAGTGCCAATGAAAGGAAAGCTTAGGGACCTGAAGACAATTTGCCTAATTTTCAGTCATACAAAGAGCTTCTATTATTACCACAGCTGTCTGTATCATCTAATCAACACTGCTCAACACAGAACAATCCTCCTCTTGATTAGGGTGGTTTGAGGATTTATCTAAACTCTCATCAAATTTGTGTCTCCCATCATAGGAGTGATTTGGGTTAGGTAGAAGAAAGAATTTGGAATCAGAAGGCGTTATGAGTCTAGGCTATACCACATATTAGCTGTGTGAATTTAGCCTTCTTGTTTATAAAACATGGGTAATATCAATAACAACTTCTACATAGGGGAGACTTCAGGGAAGATGGCAACTGAGTAAAACATACCAGAGGGACTCTGGAGAAATCAGTGCAGGAGAGCTACTTAGAGGGAAAATCCACACTGCCAGGTGGTAGGAGGAGCATCAAAAAGATAAGAAGGGACAGATTCACTAGATTTTGAAGAGCTGGGGGCTTTTGGCTTACCACAGTGGAGGCCGGTTAGGGTTTGACCTTAGCCCCGTCACTGTCTCAGCTGGAGACAGGATCATCTGGAGTCAGGGCAGGGTCTTTATCTCCACAAAGCTACAGCTTGCTGCCACCTTGGGGCACGGATTAAACCCCTCCAGCCCCATGGTCAGGGATTGGGACTCAGTTACTTTTGTTTCCCTCTCTTCTCTCTGTCCTCTCAGTCTCAGCAGGCTTAGTTTGGGGGTTTTTTTTCTTTTCCTTTCTTCTTTTTCTCTTCCCTTTCCTCTCACATTCCACTGATGACCTCCAGACCATTCCCCTTACCTAGGGCATTTACGCTGGCTGACCCTCCACCCAGCTGGGAGAGCTTCACCCTCTGCACCATAACCTGTGGCTGGGGAAAGCCTGCCTACCCTCCACCAGGGGATATCCTGCCCAAATTCTTTGGGGTAAATCCTGCCCATCTTCGTCCAAGAGAAATTCCACTCGCCTGCCCTCTGTAGTGCTTAACCCATAGCTGGGGAAAACCAGCCCACCTTCTTTGGGGGATATCCTGCCTGAGGGGAGCCCCTACCTGTACTCTGTGGTCCCACGTGACTGGGGGAACTGCCTCCCACTTACTGTAGTGCTTCACAAGGCCTAAGGCTGCTCAGCCAACACTTGCCAAAGTTCCATGCTGCTGTAGGAACCTCTGCCCAACCTCCACAACAATCTACCTGGCCAGGGCAATTCTGCCCACCATTCCCAGTGCTCAACACAAAGGTGGGCAACCCACCAGCTTTCTGTAGCACTCCTGTTGCAGCAGGCACCCCTTCATGAGCTCTGCAGTACCTCAATCTGCCAAGCTGTCAGACCATCACATCTTCTTGTGAGATCACCCAGTACAGCACCATCCTTGTGAGTCCACAACAACCCAACCAGCATCCCCTGAGAAGACCATAAAACTTGCCCTCCAAATAACAGACAAAGAGTGAAGCCACAGGAGGATAAGGTAGGCCAGTTCCATAGTTTAATTGGCTGTAGGAAGTTCATAGAATCATTCCTATGAGTCTCCCAGAGAGAACCAGTGTTCTTCAACTCCCTGGAAAATGGCACCTGGCTCCTCTAGAACAATTCAATACAAACAGCAATCAGTCCAACGACCTCAACGAAAAAGCAGGAGAAACAAAAGGCAATGACAGAAGATGTCCTGAACCTAATGATGTGCATAGAAGAATCAGACATTGATCTGCCACAGAAAGAAATTTGCAGAATGCCGCAGAATGCTGCTTGGAGTCAAACAGGATATTAGGGAAACAATACAGAAAAAGGATAAAACGATAGAGGAGATAAAGCCCATACCCCAAAGAGAAATATAAGAGCTTAGGGAGGGGATAACAAAAACCAGTAGCAGACTCATGGACTTTACCAATCAACTGGAAGAGGCGGAGAACCACACCAGTGACCTAGAGGACAGCCAAGCAGACTTTAACAAATGTGGACTAAAATCTAATAAGATCATCAGAAAAGCTGAGAAAACCTAAGAGCTATGCCTGATGTTATGAAAAGGAACAACATCAAAATAATTGGATTACCAGAGAAAGACACAAAAAAGACCTCATCTGCAACAATACTAAGAGAATTCTTGAAGGAAAACTTCCCCAGCTTAATGAAATAAAAACAAGAAAACCATTAATAAAATGAAATGAAAACAAGGCAACCATCCAGCTAGACTGAGTCCCAAGAAGAAGTCACCAAGGCACATAATAGTTAAACTATCCAACTTTGAGGAAAAGGAGAAAATCATGAGAGCAGCTAGGGAAAAAATAAGAAATCACATATAAAGTTTCCCAAATAAGAATATGCTCAGACATATCTGCAGACACTATGAAGAAGAGAAAAGAGTGGAGTATCATATTCCAAAAATTGAAGGAAAATAACGCAAACCCAAGAATACTCTTTCCAGCTAAATTATCTATCAAGATAGATGGAGAAGTAATAGTCTTCCAAGACAAGGAAAAACTCAAAGAATATGTTAGAAAAAACCCAGTCCTACAAAAAGTCCTTGCCAACACAGTAGGGGCAGAAGAACTGCACTCACCAAGCATAAATGAGACCACCACATAGAACAATCCCACCCAGAGGGCACCAAAGAGAAAACAGCCCCCAAGATAGCATTGGCTTAAGGATGGAAAGAAGTCAAGAATGAAACACACACACACACACACACACACACACACAACACACTGATAAGAAAGGGAGGTAGGAAAACACCCAACACAAAAGGTATAAGATGACATCACAGAGTCCACAGATGGAGATAATAGCCCTGAATATCAATGGACTGAACTCAGGCATTAAAAGACTGAGGCTAGCAGACTGGCTTAGAAAATACAACCCACCAATCTGCTGTCTACAGGAGATACATCTCAAGATTACAGACAAAAAATTAGGCTGAGAATCAAAAGCTGGAGAAAAGCATACCAAGCAAACAGGAATTCAAAAAAAGCCAGGGGTTGCATTCCTAATCTCATATAAAATTGATCTCAAAGTGCAAACCATAAAAAGAGATAAGGAAGGAGACTATATAACGCTAAAGGAAACAGTAGACAAAAAAAACCACAATTCATTTTAAACATATATTCCCCGAACAAGAGACCTGCTGATTACGTCAACTAAATGCACCAAAAATGAGAAAAGAAATCGCAGACTCAACAACTATAGTAGGTGACTTAAAAACACCAGTCTCTGAGAAAAATAGATAACAGGGAAAGAAACTCAACAAGGAGGCTAGAGATCTAAAAACTACAATTAGACTATTTGACCTGATACATATTTATAGAGTTCTTCATCCAAATAAAAAAAATCACGTTCTTTTCAAGCCCACAAGGCACATTTTCAAAGATAGACCACATGCTGGGACATAAGGTGAATCTACATAAAGCTAAGCTCATTGATATCTTATAGACCTCTGTCTCTGACCACTGTGCCATAAGGCTGGAAATCAACAAAAGGAAGACGAATAAAACAAGAGCAAACAATTAAAGGCTGAATAACACTCTATTGCAAAAGGAGTACGTACTGGCACAAATGAGAGATGAAATTAGAAAATTTCTAGAAGCCAACGAGAATGAGAACACAATGACCCAAAACTTATGGTACACAGCAAAGGCAGTTATCAGAGAAAGTTTCATAGCAATACATGCACACATGAAAAAGGAAGAGAGACTTATGATTGATATGCTGGCACAAAATTTACAGCAACTAGAGCAGACTCAACAGGACATTCCTACTAATAGCAAAAGAAAATAAATAATGAAAATCAGGGCTGAGATTCAGGAGAGGTAAAATAAGAAAACTATGGGAAAAAATTAATGCTGCTAAAAGTTGATTCTTTGAAAGGATAAACAGAATCAACAACCTGTTGTCAAACCTTACCGAAGAACAAATTTCAATAGGCAAGAATGAGGGATGAAAGAGAGGACATTACAATAAACACTAATGAAATCAAAAGGATAATTAAACAGTACTGTGGAGGATGCAACAAGTTGAAAAACACGGACAAATTCTTGGAAAACCAATCCCTTCCTAGACTATCTTGGATGGATGTCAGAATCTCAACAGACCCACAGCAATAGAAGAAATAGACAAGGTTATCAAGGGATTACAAACAAAAATATCCCTTCAACCAGATGGCTTCACAATAGAATTCTACCAAGCATTCAGGGAAGACCTGACACCAATCCTACACAAACTCTGCCAGAACAAGGAGAAAGACTGCAAACTCCTGAACTCCTTCTATGAAGCTAGTATAACTCTGATAACCGGGCAAGGATCCCACAAGAATCGAGAACTACAGACAATTATCCCTAATGAACATCGGTGCATAAACCCTTAACAATATATTGGCCAATAGAATACAAAAGTATATAAAACAAAGAATTCACCATGACCAAGTGGGATTCATACCAGGGATGCAGGGATGATTCAACACACAAAAGACCATTAACATCATTC